AGGAAATATGGGCATTTGTGGTGTGTGTGTGTGTGTGTGTGTGTGTGTGTGTGTGTGTGTGTGTTGCATTTCCCAGGAGCTCTTGGGGAGTAGATAGGACAGTCAATAAGCATCTGATGGAAGGTGTCCTGGGACCATTGCAGGTGCTCTTAGGATGGTCAAGAGGATGGGCTGAGAGGTCCCCAGAGATGCTGGGGATGGGAGCCCCCAGCTCCACTCCTGTAAAGTTGAGACACCTGGAGAGCCTGGGGGGAGGGAGTGTTCTGAGTGAAGGGTCTTTGTCTTTACAGGGAAATGCGTGCTAGTTGCTAAGGAACTGGATGTCTTTCCTGATCCAAGCCTCCCAGTGTTTTGCTTAGCTTGGGAGGGGGTTGCTAGGCTGGGCTTGAAGCTCCTTTGGCAGTTGGTCCTTTCCCTAGGGCTGCTGAGGTTCTGATGGGTCTTGTGGGAAGGACTCTCACCTAGGAGAGATGATTCTTTACCCTAAGCCTCACTGCTTGCTCCCCCTGAGCTGGCAAGAACAGGTGAGGAGGAGGCAGGGAAGGAGAATTCATGCATTTACTGAACAGTCTGCATGCCAGGCATTGTGCTCAGCAACTGCCGTGCTATCTCACTTAATGGTGGTAACCTGTCTTGGGTGGAAGGCATTTATTTCCATTTTTTCATTGTTCTTTTGCCCTGGAAACATAGGTCTGAAGCAGTTAAGTTGCCCAAGGTCATTGTGCTATCAAGTAGTAGAAATTCTATATGAATTTAAGACTGAATTCTATATGAATTTAAGAAATCTTATGCTTTTAAAAGTATACCAGCTAATGTACATATGAGGCTTTCTTCCTGTTCCATGACTATCACCACCATCACTGTCACCATTACCACACAACCACTATCACCACCATCACCACCACCATCATCATCACCACCATGACTACTATCACCACAGTTACCGCCATCACCACCGTCACCACCATCACCATCATCACCACCATTACCATCTTCACCATCACCACCACTATCACTACTATTACCACCATCCCCACCACCATCCCCATCATCACTATCACCACCACCACAATCACCATCACTACCATCACCATCATCACCACCATTACCATTATCACCATCACCACTATCATCACCACCACCACCATCACCACTATCACCATCATCACCACCATCACCATCACCGCCATTACCATCTTCACCATCACCACCATGACCACTATCACTACTATCACCACCATCCCCACCACCATCCCCATCATCACTATCACCACCACCACCACCATCATTACCATCACTATCATCACCACCATTACCATCTTCACCATCACCACCATGACCACTATCACTACTATCATCACCATCCCCACCACTATCCACATCATCACTATCACCACCACTACGTCACCATCACTACCATCACCATCATCACCACCATCACTATTATCACCATCACCACTATCATCACCACCACAATCACCACTATCACCATCATCACCACCATCACCACTATCACCACCATCCCCATCATTACTATCACCATCACAATCACCATCACTACCATCACTATCATCACCACCATTACCATTATCACCATCACCACTATCATCACCACCACCATCACCATCATCACCACCATCACCATCAGAATCATCACCCTATCACCATCATCACTATTACCATAGTCACAATCAGAATCACCATCACCTGGTGAACCACCGAGTCTAGGTAGCTTTCTTTCCTTTCCCACCTCTCTTCTTTCCCTAAGAGCAGTTCTCATGCAGGTGTGGTCAAGAGGGAGAGGGGTGAGTCAGTGGGCTGAGGCTGGTAAACAGTTAGGGTGGTGACCATGGGTAGGCGGGGGTGGTGATGTCCATGGGCTAGGCAAGGCTGTTGCCTTGGATGTTCAGAAGCCCTTTCCTTCTCAACAGTCCTACCCGGTCTAAGATGGCTAAAACTTTAAAGTCTTCTGAAACTTCTAGCCCTTCCTCTTTGGCCCAATTCGAGCTCTTAAATAGATGATTTTATTTTATATTACCAGAGAATAAGAATAAAGTGCTATTAGGTGGGCATGGTGGTGCATGCTTGTAATCCCAGCACTTGGGAGGCTGAGGCAGGAAGATCGTTATGAGTTCAAGACCAGCCTGGGCTACAAAGTGAGCTCAAGGCCAGCCTGAACTGCATAGCGAGACCCTGTCTCAAAAAGACAAAAAAAAAAAAAGAATAAAGTACTATTTACCTCTAAATACTATGGTAAGAGGGCTTAACGCCAGATTCCATTACTGCTATTTATGGAACAGGGAGGAGGCCCCGTAACATAAGGGAATCTGGTTCCTCATCTAGAAAACGAGAACACCACCACCTACATTATTAGGCTCTTGGGATGGCTGAATGAGAGGATGTGTTGAAGGCCCAGGTAGGCTGTGACGTGGGGTGAGAGTGCAAGTGCCTGGTATGCAGAAGGCGCTTGGTAAATGGTATCTGCCAGTGATGATGAGAACGCCAGTCCTCTTTAACCCTGCGCAGGGGTCACCACTGCTCCCTTACATCTTTCTTTGCCGTTTCATTAGAGACCTCAAGCAATTTGCATGTCCACCTTGTTTCCACCTGGAGGAAGCAGTGGTGAGAAAAGGAGTGAGAGGCTCAAAGAGCCCTAGGCGAAAAGCTTCCTCAAGGGTGGTTCCCCATCCCCTGTGGCCTCCGTGTCTTCCCTGTCCGTCCCTGGGCCCTCCTTCTCTCTGGTTTCCAGGGACAGCCTGGTAGGGCCGGCTGCAGCCTACAATCTGGGCTGGCTGTGCTCTTTTTTTATGTTTTGGGGCCAAAAGGGTAGGGGGTCTCTCCTGCCACTGAATCCAAATTGCAGAACACCAGGACAAAGTAAGGAGGGGGAGAAAGAAAGGAAAGCAAGCAAGCCGATAATTTCCTCGAAGGATAAACATCCGACTTTTTTTTCCTTACCCAAAATAAACAGGCTAGCCACAAGGAATTAAAAGCAGAAGAGGGGAGGATGTGTCTCGATTTGGAGCTGCTTTAGCAAGTTGACCTTCTATTTATCCTGGCCCTGGGCACCAACCGGAGCTGCCAATTATACTCTGTGTCTAGTGGGGTGAGGGGTGCAGGAGAAGGTCCCAAGGCATTTGGGGCCTGGAGAGTCCCTTCTGAGGCTGCCTTCCACGACACTGCAGATGGACACTTCCTTTCGCTCCTTATTTTAGCTCTGTTTGCAGGCTTGCCTGGTGGGGTGGATGGCAGTGGGGAAGGTTTTTTTTTCCACCTTGGGCTGGCATTAGATGCTGTTCTAAAGCACAGGACTCTGCTGTCTGCTGCCCACCACCTGGGCATGGAGGGGAATCTATCAACAGGGGAGAGGCATCATTCAATTCCCTCTCTAGTCACCAACTCAATCTCCCACCTTGCTGCCTTCTTCAGATGCCGCTCCAGAACTATGCAAGTAGTTGAAAGTGTGCTTAGCTGGGCCGGGTCAGCCAGGGCCCCCTGCCTTGCAGCTAACATGGTGCATGCCTCCAAGAAGGTAATAACCCGCTCCCAGCTCAGCCTGCTTCTTTCATCTGGAGACCTCAAAGCGCTTTGTATACATGAGTCACCAATGTTGCTGCACCCTGGCCAAGGAGAGGGGCTTATTAACTCTTGGAGGGAAGCTGAGCTGAGGGCCTGTTGGAGGGGTGAGTTGAAGGGGCTTGGTTTAGGATGTGCAAGAGGCTAGCAGAGGGGGTTCCCAGGGGGTCCTTGGGTGGGAAAGTCGAGGCCTACAGCTCAGTCCAAGGGATGCAGAAGCTGGAATCCTCTCCTTGTAGATATCAAGGAGCTTCCTCACGGCTTTCCAAGAGCACACACCTGGTGGTGTCACCTGTCATCCTCCAATTTGTTCATCATCCAGTGATTGTAGGGTGCAATCCAAAACGTTAGCGTGGCCACAAGGCCTGGCATGGTCTGCTCTTTGCCTACCTATCCAGGCTTTCTCTTCCGTGTCTGTTTCACTTCAGCTGCACGGTTGGTCTTTCATTTCCTGGAAGATGCCATGCATGTCCCTGTCAGCTGCAGCAGCTAGGAGGAGCTTAGGGATGCTCTCTGCCCCGGTCTGCACTCACCGGGCTAACCCTACGTCACCTTCCAGCCCTGAAGTTAACATCACTTCTCCTGGGAGCTCTCGCCTGAGCCTTCAGCCCCCACCAGAAGCCGGGACTCCTGTCCATCCTCATAGCACTAACCACAGTTTGTTATGATTTGCCTGTGCCTATCTGATGCCCTCGCCCCAGATTCCACAAGGCCAGTGCCACGCTAGCCCTGTTCGCCTGTGCATTCCCAGGCCTGGCACAGTACAGGTGTCCACGATGTTTGCTCAATGAATGCTGATTAATGTTGGGGTTGGAATGGTCCGTGGGGACAAAGCGGTGTCCCCTACGGCTTCTTCCCCCCTCAGTGTCACTGCTGAGAAAGCAGAGCTTCAGAGAGGATGAGCCATTTGTCTGAGGGCTCAGTTCAGGCGTAGGGATCCTCACCGCCTGTCCATTCCCCAGCTGCACCCACTTTCAATTACAGGAAAGTCCCAAGTCCTAGCTGGATGCTGGCTGATTTTTCCCTTGCTGATTTCCCTTTTCTTTCTTTCTTTTTCTTTCTTTCTTTCTTTCTTTCTTTCTTTCTTTCTTTCTTTCTTTCTTTCTTTCTTTCTTTCTTTCTCTTCTCTCTCTCACCCCCTAACCCCTTCCCTTGCTTCTTTCTTTCCTTTCTTTTCTTCCTCTTTCCTTTTTGTTTTTCATTACTGCAGATTAAACCCAGAATCCTCCCACTGAGCTATATTCCTAACCTTTTTATTTTATTTTAAAACTGGGTCTCATTTAGTTGTCCAGTCTGGGCTTGAACTTGCAGTTCTCCTGCCTCAGCCTCCCAGAGTGCCTGGATTACAGCCATGCTCCACCATGCCTAGCTCCCTTTGTTGATTTTTCCAAAGAAGACATGTTAGGAAGCAAAACAACAAGAACTGGATGACCTCTTATTTTTATTTTTTTTTTGTAATTTGGATGAGAAGGTATCCATACCCACAAAGGATCCTGTCCCCAGACTGTTGTGGACACACACCTGGAAGGTGAAGCCTGCAGCCCAGCAGGCAGTTCTCTCTGGGTTTGTCCTTGGCCTAGAAGCCACCTTCCCTGGAAGCTTGGAACGTTGTCGAGTCCTGGTAGTTCTGCATCATGAACTGGGTGCTTGCTTCAGGCTCCTTCAGGTGGAAGCGGTACAAAAATTTGTCCATTTCCCAAGAGCCTGGAAGGACAGACCACACGGGGGGAGTGAGAGAGAACCACGGACCTGAGAGCTGGCAGGGACTTTGGCCCTCTGGCTGTCGGGGCACAGTACTTGGGGAGCCCCTGTGTGCTAGTGGGGTCTCTGAGAATTGTGGCACCACAATTACCTGCTTGCTAGGATTGTGGGGACTAAGCCCAGCCCAAGTCAAGTCCACCTTTTGTCTCCTTCCCTGGGCCTTGTCTTTAACATGCTGCGGCCTTCTCCCCCTATGCAGAAAGGACATGCCACTGGAGCGGCTGTTCCCTGCCCCCATCTCTTCCTGCAGGTCTCCTGACCCCATGATGGAGGCTTCAGTGCTGCTTCTCGTCACACCAGGTCACCCTAGCTGCTGGGGCTGAACCTGGTTGTTCTTACCATCTCCTCCCCTGAGCCTCAGCCACCCTCTGCACAGGGCTCCTTCCCCGTGGTGGAGGTAGACAGGCAGGGCTTGGATCCTGGAGGAGCAAGAAGTGTGGGAGACCCATGCCTACCCTGGCACTTGGAGAAGCCCATGTTGGTGCCCATGTTGGTCCCCATGTTGGAGGGGCCCCTCCTCGGGGGACGGCGCAATGAGGATCACATCTTCTGGGGCAAGTGTGAACAGGCCTCACAGTGGGACAAGGAAGGTACAGCCCTGGGTGCTGATGAGGGGCTGAGGGACGTGATCAGAGGCAAGTTCCCACACTCTTCTTTTCTAAACCCTGAGCTCAGGCACCCTGGGTGGATGGTTGCCAGGAAAAAACAGGAAGCCCAGATAAGTTTGGCTCTCAGATAAACAGCAAATGATTTGTTGTGTGTGTCCCTCTATTATGTGCAGCATACTTCTACTGAATTATTTTTCATTGTTTATCCAGAACTTAAACTGAACTGGAATTAAAATGCATCTGTAGTTTTTGTTCTTTTGGAGTTCTCTCGTTGCTTTGGAGGCTAAATCTGCGGCCTTCCCCGGAGGGGGCTTGGTCGTTCCTGGAGCACAGCCGGGTAGTGGCTGATGTGCCGTGCGCTGTGAGACCAGTCACCTCTGCTCCCCAGACAGAAGAGGTGAGTGCTGCCTGCCCGCAGTTCTTCTTAGACACCACCTGAGAGTCGCTGCCCACCCATTCTCCACCTGTTGGCTGTGTCTGCATCCCTCACCCTCTTCACAACACCAAGGAGAGCAAGTCCACCCAGGTGTGTTTCTCCTCCATTTCTCCTCCCGCCCAGGGTCATCAGTGTTTCAAAAATATTCTTAAGGACAGGACAGTTTTGAATCCTATCCTCATCCAATAATAATAATAACAATAACAACAACAAAAATAATGATGATGATGATGCCACAAAAGAGAATAATGCCAGCAACCACACACACACCTCTGTAGTGCTCCTGTGTGCCGCTTGCACGATGAACAGTACTTCACTCAGTTCTCACAAAAGTCCTACTGTAGAGGACTGTGATACCCCTGGCTTACAGATAAGAGGCTGGGTCCAGAATGGGGGAGGAAGTTTCCTAGGGCAGCTGTCCCCAACCCTTTTGGCACCAGGGACCAGTTTCCTGGAAGACAGCTTTTCCACAGACAGTGGGATGGGTGGGGGTGGCTATGGGGTGATTCAAAGTAGTGTGCAACTTGGGTCCCTGTGTGCGCAGGTGCAGTTCACGGTAGGAGTCCCACTCCCATGAGAAGCTAATGCTCCACCTGACAAGAGGTGGTGATTTGGGTGATGTGGAGCTGCTGTAAATACAGATGCTTTGCTCACTGACCCAATGCTCACCTCCTCCTTTGTCGCTTGGTTCCTGTCAGGCCATGGGCTGGTACCAAGCCAACCTGGGTGACAGAGGCCGGGCAAGTCCTTTCCAGCTTCCCTCCATCCTGTCTGCCTCCACCATGGGATGCTTGGCTTACCTCAAGGGCTGGAGGGTGAGTGCTGCAGGACCATCTTGGGGAAGGGTGGACAAGGTGCTGAGCACTGGTCTGTTGGCCGGGTACTGAATGCACTGGGCATTTCCACAGTGTGACTTTGTGTTACTCAAGGGCCCTTATACAGGCACTGTGCCTGGCTGGAGCCTCTAGACCCCTGGGGCTGGGCTGGCTAGAAACAAATTTTGGTATCAGGACCCTGGGAAAATGTGTGCATACCAGCATATGTGTGTGTATATTCATGTGCATATGCATATGTGTGTGTGTGTGTGTGTGTGTATGTGTGTGTGTGTGCATGCCAGGGAAAGGGTCCCTGGGTGAATTGGTGGGTGGCAGGCACGAGGGGACAGAGGGGCCTTCCCCACTCAACAGGGCAGGAAGGAACCTGGGTGGTAAGGAAGGAATTGAAACCCATCACAAGATCAGGCAAGCTGGTGAAAGAAATCCCCTTGCGCCCCTCTCAGCAGAGCTGGCCTCCCCCGGCTCAGGAGCCACCTCCTGCATGAGCTCAGAGTGTCCCTGGGGTCTCCGGCTCCTTCCCAGGCCCACTTCCGACAAGTCTGTGGTTCTCCAGCTCCGCCGGCAGCTGTTCCCCGCACCCAGGCCCTGTGCCGGCTGTCTCCCCTGGCTGGCCTGGACTCCTCACCACCCCCCAATTTCCTGCCGCAGCGGGCGAGAGGAACTGACCCCGAGCAAGTTCTAGAAGGGAGAGGGGTGAGTCAGGCCCGCAGGGGTGCGTGGGGAGAGATGGGAGCTGTGGCTTCTGTGGTCACCGCTCAGAGGAAAGCCCCTTCCTGTATGGCATGGCTGTGTCCCTGAGTGCCAGGAGGCTGCTGCCATGCAGGAAGAGGGCAGGACTGTGTCTGCTGGGGCCACTGCACTAGGAGCCAGACTGGGCTCTTCCTGGGGCAGGACAGGGTGGTGAGTATCTGGTGTCTGTCTCCTGAGCTGCCCAGAGATGAGAATACAGGGGCCTGGGCTCCTTGGGGCAGGGCTGTCACATAGGATGTGCGGGTCCATCCCAGGACAACCCCGGGGTCCATCCGTCCTGCAGAGGCAGCCCTGTGGAGAGGCCATCCCCTCACGTGCAGGTCCCTGCTGATGTTAGCCAAGAGCTGTGGATTTTATAGATGTTGGAGTAGGAGGAGGCCGAGGGGAGAGGACATCTTACCTAAAGCCTGGAGGGTTTCTGACCTATTGCTTGTGCCCGAGCGGCTAGACACAAGGGACACTCGTGTCCTCATGGCTGAGAGGGGAGCCCATTCTCTGGGCTTTAGCTCCAGGAACTGCCACAGCTGGAAGCTTTGCACTGGGCCCAGGGCCAGGTCGTGACAGTCACTTTCTCCACCCCTAGGTTCTGAATCTGTGGGGCTGGCTATGCATGTTTTGGGCGTGGCTTGTCACGTGCTCCTGACCAGCTCCACTGAGGCTTTTAGGGCTAAGCCAGCCTCCAAGAGACTGAGAAATGGTGCTACATCTACCCTGGCCCCCGACCCTGGCAACACTAGGCAGGAGGGGTGAATAGCTCCTGGGATAGAACATGTTCTGTGAGCCTCAGAGCCTGGAGCAAGGCCCTTCTGTGTTCTACCAGCAGCTGCCTTCTGTGGCCTCTGCCAGGTACGGGGTCCAGCCTGTTGCTTTATCCACACTCACTTCTGTCCTCCATGATTTTCTCTTCTCTCCCTTTCTCTCTCTCTGTTTCTTTTTGTTTTGAGACTCACTATATAGTCCAACTGGCCTGAACTTGCTACATACCCCAGGCTGGCCTTGAGCTCAACATGATCCTCCTGCCTCAGCCTCCTGACTGCTGGGATGACAGATGCATGCCACCACACTGGGTTTTCTCCATGAGTTTCTAATGTGAGACGATCATCAGTGGACAAATGGAAAACCTGTCCTTTGAAGAGAGACCTTGGCCAGCAGTGCAACTTTGCCCCGGGCTCTGGCAGACATCTGCAGGCCCACTCTTTTCCGGTCTTTTTTTTTTTTTTTTAATATTTTCTTTTTTGGTGCCAGGAATCGAACTCAGGGCCTTGCACTTGCCAGGCAGGTGCTGTGCAGGCCTACTCTTACCCGCCACAAGACAGTACTTCCCGATGCTGCTGTGATCCAGGGATGTTTTCCACCAGACTTGTCACTTGGTCCTTGCGGGACCAGGGGTGTAAGGGTCAGAAAGCCAAGGCGGTGGCTGAGCTCCTGAGGTTGGACCCTGTCCTGGGCAGGTGCTGCAGGGGCCTGCGTGCTTGGCTCTGATCCGCCCTCCCCCTGGGCTGGTGACCTGCCTCTAACCGAGGCAGCGGCCCTTTTCTCTGCCCCTGGCTTTGCTCTACCCTCCAGCTTGGTAGGGCACCACTTCTTGTCAGGGGACAGTGTCCCTGATGAAAACAGCAAGAATTCTACTCCAACCTAATAACCGCCCCACGGCGAGCATGGCTCAGGTCTGTAATTTGTCTGGCTCGCCTGGGCTGGCTGCCGTGATAGAAGCGCTGATGCCTTTCTGCCGAGATTAATGATGTCCCAGCAGTGGTAGGCGGGAGGCCTGAGCCTTTTATTTTTTGTGCCGTTAAATGATATCCAGAGACTTTCACTCGGGAGCTGGAAAGCCCTCGTTCCATCACATCCAATTACTCCTGGAGAATATTTGCTGAGTGGCGGATCCTGCTGGCTCTGGGGTGGAGGGGACACTTGGACACTGGTCTGAGTGACACCCTGGGGAGGCCACGCAGTTGCAGGGCAGTGAGGGAGAAGAGAAGTTGGGGAGACTGGAGAGTGGGAGGGAGGTTCCTAATTGTCCAGTGAATAGATGGTCTAAGCTTCCTTCCTCCACCTGTGGCTGAGGGTGGGGACAGGGATGGGATCAAGAGGAGGAGGGCCTCTAAGCTGCCCAGTTAGCTCCCAGTGATCATATTTGGGGATTATCTGCTCTTTTGTCATGTGACCCCTCTGACATTGCTTTGGACAGCTGGTGTTTAGCTTCACTGGGGAAGGATGCTCCAGATCTGCCTGCGGCCCGCAGAGACTTCAGGCAGCTCCTGGCCAGGGTGCCTTTCTTCGTGTTGCGCAGGTTGGCCCCACCTGGGTGCCTGCCAGGCCCCCATCCTACCAGGCCTACCAGGAGGCAGAAGAGAGCCACCTGCCACGAGTCCGCGTGATGTTCAGGGGCTGTGCCCTGGGGTTCTAGGGCTGGGCCAGGGGAATGAGCATGAGAAGTCATGGGGTGGGTCGGGCTGTTCTGCAGTGGGTTGTGTGTGTGTGCGTGCATGTGCGTGTGTGTGTGTGTGTGTGTGTATGTGTGTGTGTGTGTGCGTGCATGTGCGTGTGTGTGTATGTGTATGTGTGTGTGTGTATGCGTGCATGTGCGTGTGTGTGTATGTGTATGTGTGTGTGTGTATGCGTGCATGTGCGTGTGCTGGGCGGGGGGCTTGTCTCCAGATATGGCCTGCTTTCCTCTCAGGCCTCTTCTTCTATACTTCACCACACCCCACGCTGCCCCAGGCTTCCTCCAGGCCCGGTGGGCTTCCTCCTAGCCTCGGTACTGTGTGTCCCCCTCCTGTCGCGTAGCTGCTTGGGGCTTTGCTGCCCTCATGTCCTTGGCCCCTAATGCCCCTGTCTCATTCACCCAGGGAGCCCTACAGGCCATGAGATGTCACAATAAGACTCAAACCCCACCATATAGCAGGGTTCTGCCTGTCCCTCTTTTCTCACCCCCTGAATCCAGGTGCCTGTGGTGCTAGGGAGCAGCTTATGGCCACCCTTGGCACCCTTGCCTGCCACCTCATTGGTTGCCCAACTAGTGGGCCTTCCCTCTTAGTGAAGGCCGCCAAGGCTGCCCTTGTGAGGTGGGAATGCAGCCCCCATGAGCACTCTGGCACTGTCCTGGGCTTGTGGCCTTGGAGTGGCTTCTGGGAAAAGCTGTGGTATGTCATCTCTCATCTAACGGGACAGCAAGAGGAGTATGCGACCAGCTTGTTGTACCTTGGGGTGAGGTGGCTGAGACGTGGCAAGGCGCTGACGGTGGCTCCCTGGAGCTTTGGGCTTAGCCATGGCCTTCACTGTGAAAGGGAATTATGGGGAGGATGGACCACTGTGACTCAGGGCAGTAGGATGCAGTTGCCCCGTTTGTCCTCAAAAGGAAGGTGGTGGTCTAGGTGGATGCTGGGGACATAGGCTGAGCCCTTCCCCAGGCATCAGAATGAAATTCACTTGCTATTCCCTGGGTACCTTTGGTGAACCATGCCACTCGTTATGGGTTTCCAGCTTCCTCTTTTGCTCTGGCTGCTATCCTGCCCACCCAACATGAGGGCGCAAGGTGAAGGTTGTGGAGAGGTGTTCCCGCCTGCCCAGGGTTGGGACAGGGAGGGCATGTAGAGATTGTCATTTGTGGGCATGGTGCTCACAGAGGTGGCAGCCTCTTCAGGTGCTGAAGGAAGTTGATGTGTGTTTGTGAACGTGGGGGTGTGGGAACGTTCGGATCTGTCTGCGTATGAATGGCTTGTGAATGTGCGTATGTGGGTGTGTAGAATACACAGACACACTCATTGACCGAGAGCCCAAGGTGGCTTGGGCCCAGTGACAGGTGCTAAAAGGCAGGAAAACAGAGGTGAGCTCTTCTCTCAAGGAATTTATAGTCTCATGGTGGAAGCTGGGCGATGGGAGTGAGTGAAACTTGATTTAGTAACATAAAAGAGATACAGGCAGACTCCTGAGGAAATTCAGTGGAAAGTCAGGAGACTGGATGTAGGGACAAGGACACTAACAGGAGAGGGCAGGGCCAGACTTGGCTGAGAGAAGCCATCCCTGGCGGGTGAATGTGGAGTGCATCAAGGAGCCTTGGGCTGGGCCAGTGCCTACAACAAGGCGAACACATCCCATGGCTGAGGGGAGGGAGGGGAGAAATAGTCCACCTGGATCGTCTGGCAGGGATACATCATTTGTTTGGTAAGAGTTGTGGGCAGGTGACCTGAGTGAAATACAGGATGTAAGGGACATCTTGACAGTGTGGGAGGGGCATGCGAAGCCTGCCTGTGGGGAATGCGTTTGGTTGGTTCCTCTGGAATCTAGACGTCTATCTAGCTGCCTCGTGCAAGACTGTCACTCAGAATACATGCAGGGAGACCATGGAGAATGTCACGCTGAGCTTAGAGGCCAGATCTGGGGCCTCGGGAGTGCCTGTACGTGTGCGTGCGTGCTGTGTAGCGCAGAGCTGGAAGGAGCAGCTCACCAGGAAGCAAAAGATGGAAATCTAGTGCATCCCAAGCATGAGATAACAGAGCCTGACTCTGGGAGGGCTAAGTGTGGATAGCCCTCTGGGATAACGTCAGTGAAACTGGGCCAGCACTTGTCCAAGGCGGCCGTTCAGGCTTTCTAGCCTCTGCCCATCCCCTAATGGGGGCTTGGTTATGCTTCAGCTGTCTGGGGATCTGCCTGATGCTCTCTGTGAGTGCCAGCTCCCCTGGGCTACACCAAGGTGACACATCCCCACCCATGAGAGTAGGGGCACGTGGCTCCAGCAGGAACCTATGCTATGATTAGCCAAGGCCTGTCCGAGCGACTGTGAAGCACACGGGCCAGTCCTGCTGAGAGAGGAAGAGCTGTAGAAGAGACAGTGGCATGAGGTGGCAGGACTTTGGGGTAGAGGAGGGGTAGCTCGAACCCCCTCTGGGCCTTGCTGTGGACCTAGACGCCCAGGCATAAGCCTGCTGGGAGGCCTCCACGCACATGTCCAGGGCTCACTGGCAGGACCAGCCTTGTCAGCTCTCTGTATTCATGTGGCAGAACTCAGAGGCGAGAAAGGCCCACGAAGAGCGGGAGCAAATCTGTTCCCGGCCATCCAGTTGTAGAACAATTACAACCTTTTGTTTTGGAAAAGTACAAATCAAGGCCCAGAGAAGCGAGGTGTCTTGTGCAAGGTCACACGAGAGTGTGAGTGTCAAGGAGTCCTCATTTCCTGGCCACACGTACTCATCCTGAGTTCTACAGTGAGGAGGAACCCTGGGGAAGGCTTCACCCCTTGGTTCTAAAGATGGCCACCTTGTCACTGTTTACGCGGTCAGCTCAGGGTCAACTACACAAATCGTAAGCTCCCTTCATACTCTCAACCTGTCATTCACATACGAATACCGGGGCGGGCGGGAGACCGCACAGGACAGAGGCCTGACTCTTCAAAGGTTTTTCCCCACCAGATATTTTCAGTGAATTGAACTCTGTGCCACACCGGAGACCTTTAAGTTACTTCGGTTTCAAAACTGCTTGACAGAGTGTTCTTACAGTGGCCTGTTAAGTGGCTAGTTAACCATCTGCATAACGCCCATCTACCTAGCTCCTGCAGCCTGCCCTTTCCCCTGCAGCCTGTTTACCGGGGGATGAGAGATGCTGATTACATCCCCTTGCCAAGGGCCTGTATTTGTTGGCAGGGCCCTGTGGCCTCAGAGTGTCAGTCCAGCCTGGGGCTCCAGAGTCTCCAAGCACTGTCCAGGTGCTGCGGAGCCTGCCAGGCCTCGGCACACCAGCATTGCTCAAGCACTGCCACTTCTGCTTTTGCAATCATCCTGGGCTCGTCCTTGCCAGGTCTTCACATTGAAGGGCCTCTGGTGGCTTCAGTCTCTGGCCACTCGGGTTGGGTGTTAAGAGCAACCTTCATATGTTGTGTCCATTGCCTCCTTATGGTCTACCAAGCTTGCAAGCCCTGGGCACCAAGAACCTTCACAACCCTCCTCTTTTTTCTCCTTTCCTTTCCATTTTATATATATATATATATATATATATATATATATATATATATATATATATATATATCTTTGCATTTCTAGTTTCTCCAGCCTGGAGCTTCCTCCTCCTTCCCTCAAGCATTCAGACTTCCTTCTTGGCAGGGCCCAGCTCCTACATGGAGCCTCCATGCCATAGTGATTTGAAGATCATCTGCTAATGGTCATCTCATTTTCTAGAGGACACAGAGGTCCAGAGGCAGCCTCATCTCAAAGTCACATCACTGGCCGGAGAGAGGAAGCAAAGGTTCCCCATCCTGGAGGAAGAGGTCGTGCTGTCCTAGAGAGATGTTGACCCAGAAGGGATCTGTCAGAAGGATCTGTCCCCAAGTCCGCGTGGTGATCGCTGTATCCTCACAGTCAGAACCACACAATTAAATGCATGATTATAAGCTACTCTGTATTGTTATCTAATTGGTTCCAAAGTAGACTGTAAGACCCTTGAGCACAGGGAATTCTTCTCCAAAGCCCCCAGCCCAGGGCTGGGTATATGGAAGGGGTCATAGCACAAGGCTGTTTCCTTGGCCGGGATTTTTGTCCAGGAGGGTGTTTTTCCTACTTTCATTTCTGTCAGCGAATAAAAGAGCAGAAGCACTCAAGGGACTCTGTGTAGAGTAAGTCCAGGGTCTGAGTTTTTATGTGGGTGGAAGGTGGGCCGTGTGTGTGTGTGTGTGTGTGTGTGTGTGTGTGTGTGTAAGTATGTATGGTCATGCACAAGCACAGGGAATAGTGTTTTGACAAATATCCAAAGGGATAAATAATGGTTTCAGCCTTGCTAGGTTTCCAGTTTCCTTCCTTGCCACCTGTGACGTAGCAGGGCAGGGAGAGCCATTGTGTTTTCTGGAGAGTGGGTTTTGGGACAACCTCAGGAGGCACTACCTTGATCAAGGAGACTCCCGTGAGGCAGGAGGAGGTGCCACTTCCCAGGCCCCTGGAGTCACAGAGCCTGGACTAGTGGGAGTAGCTTCTTTGTATCTTTGGTGAGACGGGTACCCAGGACGCTGGAGAATTTTTGCATCTCTTTCTGTCTCTGTTTCTGTCTCTTTCTGTCTCTCACTGGTGATTAAATCCAGGGCCTTCCCATTTAGCTATATCCCCAGCCCTTTAAAAATATTTTGAGACAGGAGCTTGCTAAGTGGCTAAGTTGCTGTTATGGTTTGTGTCTGTGTGTGCCCCCAAAGCCTCATGCGGTCATGGAGCAGGCTTTTAAAGTTTGATTGATTATGGGTGTGAGAGCTACACCCGCCTTGGGGTAGATAGTTTGCATATGTAAGGGAGAGGAAGAGGCTGCTTGCGGCCATTCCTCCCTTGTGTGTGCTTGTTGCTTTGGCTGTGTTCTGACGCTATGAGCTGTAGCACTCTGCCATGTGCCACTCTGCCTTGTAACCTGCCAAGTATGGACTGAAACCTCCACAAATTGTAAGCGAAATAAACCTTTCCTTCCTTAATTTTGGGTGTCAGGTATTTTGTCCCAGCAACAAGAGAAAAGTAACCAAGACAGTTGCCCAAGTGGGGCTTGAACCTTCAGTCCTCCTGTTTCAGCCTCCCAATGTGCTGGAATCCGAGGTATGCACCACCACACCTGGCTTTCCTTCTCTCTCTGTATCTAAATTTAAGCATGTCTTTGGCCCAGCTGTTCAAACAGGTTTGCAGGTTGGCAGGGTGGTGGGGGTACCTGGGGGAGGGTTCACGGCTGGAAAGGTGGCACTAACTCCACTCCCAGGGTGCCTGGAGCCCTCTGTGATTGGTGGCCTCTCTTTGGCACAAATCTGAAGGGCTTCAGTGCTGAGCCCGTGCCTTTCTGGGTTCCACACTCTGGGGCCTCGGGCCTCCCGGTGGGTGGAGGTTGGTCAGGGTCACTGGGTGAGAGGAAACGGTTGCTGACAGGAGCCCTCCCACTCGCCTTCCCCACCGCTCGGAGGATGTACACGGTGCACTCTCAAATTGCCATTTGTGCATTCACCATGACCTCCCTTTCCTAACATCAGGGCTGTTGTGGAGCACGCAGAGATTACTCCATGTCGCATTTTCCTGAAGAGGAATCCAAGCTCAGTGAGGGGAGACGTAGCTCACACGAGTGAGTCACCTGTGGGCCACGGTGGCCAGGTCCACAGCTCCTCCCTCTCCCCAGCCTTGGTGCTAGGAGGACCAAGGCCAAGGCAGTAGGAGGATTCAGGAAAGGGGTCCTTTGTCCATTCAGGGGTGTTGCTCCTCAGCTGGGGGAGGGGGCGTGGCTGGGGAAGTCTTCCCTCTACCGCAGAGATGGCAGGGCAGACCAAGCAATTAGCCACCAATGAAGACAGACCGGCAGGGTGGCATTCCAGCACCCTCTTGCCCAGATCAGCTTCAATTATAAGGCACAATTACTGGCCAAGGTGTTGTGGGGTAGCTGCCTGCACATGCCGTGCAAGGTTTCAGGGGTGCTTCTTGGTCTAGGGGACTTGCTTCTGAGAGGAGACCACATCTGAAGCCAATACTTCCTTTAGGGCCCTTGTTCCAGTTCATGCTCCAGAAACACTACCTTCTGACCCCTGTCTCCAAGGTTCATGGGTGGGTGTCAAGTCCCAACTTCCCCCATGAGTGCACGAGGCTTCAGTTTCGCCTTATAACCTACCCTGGCTGCAGGAGAAAGGATGGGGAGGCCTTACCTCGAGTTCTGTTTTCTTTGGGAAGGAGGTTGATGGTCTTTACTTCCTGACGGTAGATGTAGAATTGGTAGCGGTGGAAGCCACTGTGAGCTGGTGGGGAGGGAGGCTGGTAGGCTACAGGTAGACAAAAGAGAGATAGGTGAGTCCATATCCCATACTACCTGCTTACAGCTGTCCTGGATACTCTAAAAGAGAACCATCCGTGTCTTTCAATGGTCCCTGGTGACCTTTCTGGGGTCCCAGAAGAAGGCGCCTCCATTGCACACCCTTAGGACTCATGTTTGGCAGGCTCTTGCCTTCAGGGTCTCCATTCACAGTGTACATTTGGGGGGCTGAGTGGGGGAGGGAAGGAAGTGGTCCTAGAGGGAACGCTCTGTGCTGGCTGAAGGTCTGGGGCGCTGGCGCAGCTCCCAGGCCTTTTTGGGCCAGTGGGTGTTCGTGTTGTCCTGTTTTTTGCTTTAGTCTATCCTGATGGATTTCCTGCCTCAAGAGAAACCTATCTTCCCTTATGAATGTGTTTGGTGTGGATTTTTATTTATTTTTTCAGCATTTCCTTGTGAAGTTAATCCCCAAAGAAGCCAGTTTCTTGGCTGGGTCTGGAGGATCTGGAAGTGGTTACGGGGGTGGGAGGGACTGGGTTCAAAGGTTTGATCATAGGCACTGTAGGAGCTGGGCACTTGGGGCACTGGGAGAAGGCCCCTCTCCCTCCCCTTCACTCTGCCTCTGGGATACTGACCTTTTTTGGGGGGAAAATGGGGTGGAGATATCTCTCTTCCTTTCCCCAAGTCTGTGCAGGGACCCAAGGTTTTGCTGGCCTGGACTGGGTCTTCCAAGCTGGGCTTCTTTCCAAGAGCACATTGCCCCTTCCCAATCCCCTGCCCTTTCTCCTTCTCTCTTTCCAAGGAGGAGAGTAAGGCTGGAGCCAAGAATATTTCTGGGGTGAGTGGGGAAGGAGTGTTGCATGAGCTTGCATGGTGGGAGGGAGCATTGGTGCTTTCTGGCCACCCCCCTCCTTTCCTCTCCTGATCATTAAACAAAAGAGCGACGGGCTGTTTGGCGCTGTTGGAAGCATTCCTCATTGTGCACTTCCGGCCACGGGGGCCTCCAGCCTGCCAAGAGCCAGGGGAATTCCTGACTGTTCATCTTTCCCATCGCAGATTGGAGTGTGTGTGTGTGTGTGTGTGTGTGTGTGTGTGTGTGTGTATTCTGAGAGAACAGAACAGTTGTGCCAGAGCTGTGAGTTTGTGTGGCTTGGGGTCCTCATTGGGGCAGGTGTACATATGGGAGGAACAAGTGTGCCAATGCTGAAGCTACATCGGAGACTCTGCGTCACTGTGTGTGGATTTGTGTAAATCTGTGCCTTCACACATGCTGCCAGTGTGGAGAAAGCGTGGCGCTTTTCAGTGTCCCTTCATGTGCCTGGGTGTGTGGAGGGCAGGTGTGACAGGACAGCTTCCGGCCAGGCTGGCGGGCATGGCGGTGGCCATTTGCCCCCGAGGTAGGCATATTCTACACTGCCAAAGGCAGGTGACCAAGATTCTGTTTTAGAATCCGCTGGTTCTCTGTCGTTTCGGATTTATTCTCAGGGGAGATGAAGAATTTGCCCCTCCCAGGAGGGCTTTCCTGAGGAAGCCCCCACTTGAAACCTCTAGAAGGCAAGCCTGTGGGTGCTGGAGGGGTGTGTACACTTTGGAAGCTTCTCTGGCCAGGCCCCTGCTTCTCCATACCTTGGCAATGTGGGCATGAGCTCCATTTTCTGGCTGAGGAAACTGGGCCTCTGAGAGGTTAAAGTAAGACCCCAAGAAGTGGTAGAGCTGGGATTTGAACCCAGGTCTATGAGGTACCCAAGCCCATGTGGCTCCACAGTCAATGGGACCATTTCTCTTGAGTCATTTGTGAACCCTCACCTCCAGCATCCTCTCCTAATGGAGCTCAGGGGACACTTGGGAGGGGGGACCTAGCAGGGAAGAGTGCAGGGCAAGGCCTCAGAGGTGACCAGGGCTGTCCTGTCAGACAGACCCCGGTGTTCTCACTCTGTCCCTTACTAGCTGTGTGACAAGGGGCAGGTCCACCTGTGCCTGAATTCATTCTCTTTAAAACGGAGACCTGAGTGTTAGCAACTTTGCAAGACAGTTGTGGAATGACATCAAGAGCACACAGGGGACCTGGCGGGGGGAGGCTGGCGTTCGAATGCTGCAAGGCAGCACCAGGAAGCTGTGCCACTGTGATTCCTGGGACTGTCACGGAGCCCTGGCTGGTTACTCACCTGATAACTCCTGGCCTTTAATCTTCCCTCTCTTCAAGTCGGTACCCTGAAATGAGAAATGAGAGGCTGGGCCACTGCTGAGGCAATGAAGGCTGATCCCCCACACTTTGGTCTCCCTGGCTCTGCTGAGCTCCTGTCTTTGTGGGAGCAGGGGAGTCATGGCTGCTCCTGGGAGACGGACTGTGGGGCTTTGCAAAGGGTGCATCAGGGGCCCTGAGGGGAGAACGCAGAGACAGGGTGTCTGAGGATGGCGTGGAGATGGAGGGCAGATGCTTGACCTCTGGGGTTCCTGAGAAGGCCTTTCCCAAATGGCTGCCCCATGAACACATCTGTACCCCAAGACTGGGTACCGGATGTAACTGTTCATGGGGACAGGGCCGCACTGTCCTCAGGAGTTTGCTGGTCAGCCCATCCTCTCAGAAGGGGCCCTGCTGTCTTCAGAGCCTTTAGCACATTAGGCCAATGGCCATCTGGACAACCAGAGGAGACAGCAGGGCAGGAGGGGCTGGACCACCTCACTCAGCCCACAAGCTCTAGGGAGTTTCTTTGGCCTCAGTTTCCCTCCGTCTCTCTCTCTGCTCCCTCCTCTCCTCTGCTTGGTGTCTGTGGGATAATGAGGTGCTCCCCGGGGGCGGGCGCTAATTACTGTTTGTGCAGGACTGGGAGATGCTCAGATGAAAGGGACTGGAGCCGGGCCTCTGGGACTGTGCCACAGCTCGGGGCCCCGAGCCATGCCAGAGAGCCCTGCGGGTCCTAGGTGTGGGGTTTTATAGTCTTAATGATGGTGATTAGCGTGGCTCTTAATTGATTCTGCCAACACCTAACTGTGCCCTGGCCCCCTTTCCACCCTTCCTGGGGCAACCTCTGCCCCTTCTCTCCCCGAGGTGCTTGTGGGGGTGCAGAGGTGCCTTGAGAAGGGGATGGGAGGCCTTGCTGGGACATAGGGGGCGTGGGGCTGGAGGAAGGTTAGATATAACCTCTGACTCCCACCCACCCATTCTGGATCCCCCCTAACCACTTCCCCTTTAGTCTGCAGCTCATCTGCTGTCTTCACTTTGGACCTCCCTTGCTGCAATCCCATCCTTGGGCTTGTCCCTGTGGGTCTTGGTCACTTTGGGTAGGGGCAAAGGGAAAGATGCTAGGAGGACAAGCCCCTCCATACTTTGTTTGCTCCAGCCTGCGCAGGTGAGGTCTCCTGTCTTCCCAGCGCCCCCTATCCTCATCGCTGCTCTGGTCTCTCTGGAGCCCCACCCATACAGCTGTGCACACCCCAGCCCTGCCTAGTGCTGCAGTCCTTCTACTTTCCTGGTTTAGAGCCTGACATTGTCCAGGGCTGGGGTTAGGCCTCGAAGGGTCAGGAGCTGAGAGGCGGGGTCCTGGGGGAGGGCTGGGGACGGGAGCCCAGGGCCCCTCCTGATGACCCCTGTCCCTTTCAAGAGAAGAGGTCGGGACCCAACAGGGTCCAAGTAGCCACTTTCCCCAGATAACTATTCTGGCCACCCTGGGTAAGGTGGAGAGAGCTGCAGCCGGGACCAGGGACACCCAGCCCAGCCAGCCCACTCTGTGCTCTGTGTTGGTGTTGCTCAGCTTCCCCCACACCCCTCTCCAAATGGGCCCAGCCAGCGGTTTGTTGAAACCAAACAATAGCAACCTAGGCAGGCTGTTTCTTCTCAATTCCCCACAGGCTTGGGTCCCGCCCAGGCCTCTCTTCTCTGAGTGAGGGCAAGGAGGCCACCAGGGCTCTGCTGGGGCCGTGGGGTCAGGGAGCAGCTTGTGTGGAGCTGGAGCCGGGCCCTGTGGAAAGTCTGACTTGCAGCTTGCAGGGTGGGGAGCCTCCTCCTGCACCCTGGGGGCGTCTTCTCACCCACTGGGGCAGCTTGGCAAAGGCTGTGTGCTAGCCCTTGGGTTGGGCTCACCGGGGCCACCCCCACCCCTCTCCCCAGGGACAGATGCTCCATGCTTCCTGGTAGGAGGAGCAGGGAAGGACCTCATGGCGGAGGCCCCACATGGCAAATGGATGGTATTGCTGTGATTTACCAGTGTTGGGGTGAGGACTGGTGGCTCAGCATGCTTTGGCCATAAACTTTGCCTCCCTGGACTGTCTTGAAATTTCTACCACAGAATCAACACATGGAAAAGAAACTAAATTCTGAAGGGTGAGAAAGTTGGGATCCAGAGAGGTCAAAGTAATTGTCCCCAGCCATTTGGGCAGTGAGTTTGAGAAGACTAGAATCTTTAGGGAGGAAGCGGATGCAGACCCAGAGACTCCCCCAACCCCCAAAGCCTCCTGGTTGAAGGGCTCAAGCCTCTGGACCCACAGTGCTGTCCTGGGCTTTTCCCTGGCTCAGATACTGGCTGGAGGTGTGATTTAGTGGTACAATGGATGCTTATCATGCGCGAGGACCTGAGTTCAATCCCTAGCACCAATCAAAACAAAACAACTCTGAAAAAATACCCAGCTATTACCTGGAGAGCTGGGGCTGCAATGGAAATAGTCCCCTTCATTCCATACCAGCTTTCTTAAAATATCTTTGTAGGTTAGAAAATCACATCTAGCTGTGACAGCCTTAGCAAGCAGCAACTCTCAGGAGATGGAAGACATTCAGTTCCAGGAGGAGAGTAGGGAAGTTGATAGTTGTTAGCACAAGGGGCTGGGCCAGGGAAGGCCCCTGTAGGGCACCAGGTAGGAGTCCAGCCACCAGGGCCAGACACTGCTCCTGCCAGGGTGAACAGAGATGGGCTGGGGGAGGAGAACCTGCAGGAGGCCGGGGCCTGATGAGAGCTTCCTACATCCTAGGCCTCCTACCCTCCATCTGCAGCCTTCACCTGCCCCTGCTGGCCTCCAGGTGCGCGTGCTCCTCTTTAAGATGGGCCAAGCACAGACCGACCTCCTTTCCCTCACTGTAGCTAAAGACAGGTTGACATTTCCAAAAGGAACTTGTCAAATGCTCAGGTTAAAAAAAGGAAATAATTATGGAAATTACAAACAGCGAAGATGCAGTTGGGTTTCTGAGCCTCAGGAACACAGAAAAGTCAAGGATGGAGTTTTCGGGATGGCAGGACAGGGCCACTTGAGATGTTTGGCTAGTGTGGCTGGGAAAGCATTCTGGGCTCCCGTAAGTGTCAGGGACCAGATGGCCTTGGGCAGCCAGTTCTTTCTTTAATCGCATCCATCCTTTGGGGATGGGGAGTCTGATACCCATGACCCTCCTAGCAAGGACACAAAGGAGGGCTGGAGGATTGCTTGGTGGGACCAACCCTTACATGCTCAAGATATAAGAACAGTAGTTGCTCCTTTTGCTTACAAGCTGGTCTCACATGTATGTGTGTGTATATGCTTGTGCAGGTATGTGCACGTGCACGTGTGTGTGTGTGTGTGCATGTGTGTAGGGTGCTGGGTAGACATACAGTTGCCTGTCATATCAATAGGCACAAATGATTCAGAGAATCATTGCAGAGAAGGATGTCGAACACTTCAGGGAATTTAAGCATTTAAGAATACGAGGCACCCACTGCTTCTCTGTCAAGCTAGTTTGGAACTGGCATAGGAGATATTGAGGAAAATTTGGGGCTCAATCTTGGGCACCCCAACCCCATTCCAGGATCAGGGAGACACAGTCTTATGGGAGTTGTTCTGACTTATTTGCCTCAGGTCAAGAGCACTGTAGCAGAAACTGGTGTAGAGGGTGAGGATCTGTCTCCACCCACTGTTCGGTTCTAATTCTAACAAGATTTTTGTGGTTGTACTCCAGGATTCTGTCCCACTGATGGAACTCCTGACACCCCAGCATAGGCAGGGCAAAGAGCATTATCCCCAAGGGAGCAGACAAACAGCAGAGGGCTCATCCTCTGGAGGGCAGGGGCTGCTGCTTGCCCTCTTTGTAGCCCCTGGGATGCTTGCACATAGCAGGTGTGTAGACCTGGCTACTTCAGTAGGCTTCACTTCTAGCTGCCACTAATTGCTTCCTGTCCCATGAGGACACCTGAGAATCATGCTTTCTGAGGTCTTCCATAGAGTTAAGGGTCCCAAGACCCACCCCCCCATCTCCGCAGGGACCTATTCTGTGGCTGGATGTGGTTTTCCAGCTCTGGTGGGTGGAGAGGGGCTGGCTGTTGCTGTGCCAGCAGGGCTTCTGGCTACTGTCCTCATTCCCCTTCAATTACCTGCAGGCAGCTGCCCGCCCACCTGGGCCTTTGTGGAGGCCCCAGGCCCTCAGACTGGCCAACCCCGGAGTGGAGGGTCAGCGTGCAAGATGATTTAATCTCTTTACCTACCCCTTCCCATTCGGATGGGAGGATTCAATCACTTTTGCCTGGCTGCAGATCCCTGTCAGAGTGGGAAGTTTCCCTTTTTTGATCTTTGGGAGGGTGGGATGCATCCACAGAGCCCCTAACTTGAAAGATGAAGCAGAGACAGAGAAGAGAGAGAGTACAGAGAGAAATGAGCAAAATGGAGTCCTTGGGTGGGAAAAAAAAAAAAACAAGCCAAACAACCAAAGAGGGAAAACAGAAACAGGGTTCCAGACTGTGTGACACTGGCACTGAATGACAAAGCTCCTTGCTGTTTTGCACAGCTGTCTGCAAACTGCCAAGTGGCAAAAGAGCCAGGAAAAGGCCCAGCACTGGAAAGTGCTACCCAGTAATCTGTGCATTCTGCAATTAACAGAGGGTAAGTGAGTGGAAGGCATTGACAACTCCCAGGCACTGAGGTCCCCAGGGGCTGTGGCTGCCAGGCCCCTGAACGCATGCCAGCCTGGAGAAGACCCAGCCTGGAGGATGGTGTTGCTTCAAGGGAAAGGCTTCCAGTCCATTAACCCCGTGGACTGCTCTTTTGCCCTGGGGCTGCCAGAAGGAAGGACAGCCACTGGGGCAGTGGAATGAAGCCCATGGGGAGTGGTAAGGAGGAGGCACAAGGGTCTGAGCCCTCCTGGGAGCTGAGTGCTTCCAGACCCCAGGGTGTAGGAGGGCGGATTACCTTGTACACCCTGATCCCTTGAGAAATATCAGCATCAAAGTCTTGATAGGCCTCTTCCCAGAGCCCTCAGG